TTCTAAGAAGAACTGATAATGTTTTCCTATTTGGTATGATGTATGCATTTGAGGCTTCAGTGCTTTAAGAGTAAACTGAGACCTGGCTCTTCTCCACACTGCCCTTTCTGTCTTTTTCTATGGCATGTTTTCTTCTCCTTTCCTCTTAGTTTATTGAAAGTTTAATATGATACATATTAATGGAATGATACATCTGGTCAGCTTCTTTGACCCAGGAATTCTGGATTTTTTTTTTTTTTTGGAATGCATTCTACAAAAACCCACAAAATTATATAAAGATATGAGTACAATGATATTAATTGCAGACTGTAACAGTGATCATCTGAGAGTGACTTAAAGGCCTAGCCAAAGAGGATTCATTAAATATCAAAGTGAGTCTATTAAATATTAGTCTTATCTGTATCATAGAAATAAATATGTGTATGTGTGTATTTATCTTTGAATTGAAAACCCAAAATGCAAAACAGCATGAATAAAGTGTATATATCTCAAGGTCAACTTTGGACATTTATTTAGTCTACATTGATATATTTTTTATATACATACATTTCTTATTTTTTATAATTAGAGAACATATGAAGACAGCCAACAAAATTTAAAGAGATGGATATGTAGCAAAGAAAAACACAAATTATTATGAAGACTCTTCCATAATAGTTAGGGGAAAAGTAAAAGTGCTTTCAGGCAACCAGGAAATGAAACACAAGAGATGACTTGAGAAATTCGGAAGAAGAGGAAGGGTGTCCCAGGGCTTTCTTGCTCTGCCTCCCACTACCTCTCCCAGTGCTAACAGTGTTGAATTTGAATCTCGTAGTCCTCCTTATCCAAGGTTTCACTTTTCATGGATTCAGCCACCCAAGGTCAATTATGGTCCAAAAATATTAAATGAAAAATTCCAGAAATCAACAACTGACAAGTTTTAAATTACACACCATTCTGAGTAGTGTAATAAACTCTTCCCACCATTCTGCTGTGTCCCAACCAGGACATGAATCATTCCTTTGTATGGTATATCCATGCTGTATACTCTTCCCACCCATTATTCCTACTCTGTAGCTGTCTCAGTTATCAGATGGACTGACTGCCAAGGTTACCACAGTCCTTGTGTTCAAATAACCCTAATGGCCCCAAAGTGGAAGAATACTCATGATGACAATTTGGATATCCTGAAGACAATACTGTGCATAGGGAATGTATGCATAGGGAAAAAAACAGTACGTATAGAGTTCTGTACTATCTGAGGTTTCAGGCATCCACTGGAGATCTCAGAACATATCCCCCGAGGGCAAGGGAGATCACCACACTGCTTGCAGAAGTTTCCACTCCAAGTGGGGTCTCTCCTTGTCGAAGAGAACCTCTGTTTCTAATTTTGAGACTAGCCAGCTCAGGAACCTTTCAATTCTCATTTAGTACCAACTGAATCTGCTCATTCTCAGACTGCCAAGGCATCTCATGTTGGTTCTGCTAGTTTCTGCTACTTTGGGCCATGACCATATTTATATGTAAGTTATGGGATTTCTTCACAATGAGTTTCAGTACTGAAGGAATTTGTGAGGTCTTTTTATACCGACCCCCTTTTCTCTGTAGAGCTCTAGGAGAAGAAGTAGATATTTCCAAACTGAGTTGTCCCAATGTTCCTTTTAATGGTACCATTTCTAAAGCGAGGTTTAATGGTCTATTTAGGAAAGCACAGATGAATAATGACTCTTTCTTTCTCTTTGTATCCCAGCTATGGTAATCCTAATTTACCCTTAAAAAATAAAAAACACTCACTACAGTCGGAATGGCAGCTATTATGAAGACAAACAACAATAAGTGTTGGCGAGGATGTGGGGGAAAGGGCACACTCATACATTGCTGGTGGGACTGCAAATTGGTGCAGCCAATTTGGAAAGCAGTATGGAGATTCCGTGAAAAACTTGGAATGGAACCACCATTTGACCCAGCTATCTGTCTCCTCAATCTATACCCAAAGGACTTAAAAACAGCATACTACAGGGACACATCAATGTTTATAGTAGCACAATTCACAATAGCTAAACTGTAGAACCAACCTAGATGCCCTTCAACAGATGAATGGATAAAAAAATGTGGCATATATATACAATGGAATATTACTCAGCAATAAAAGAGAATAAAATCATGGCATTTGCAGGTAAATGCATGCAGTTGGAGAAGGTAATGCTAAGTGAAGTTAGCCAATCCCCAAAACACAAATGGCGAATGTTTTCTCTGATATAAGGTGACTGACTCATAGTGGGATAGGGAGAGGGAACATGGGAAGAATAGAGGAACTCAAGGTGGGGCAGAGAAGTGGGAGGGGAAGGGAGGGGTCAGGGGGTTAGCAATGATGGTGGAATGTCATAGACATCATTATCCAAAGTACATGTATGAAGACATGATTTGGTGTGAACATACTTTATATACAAACAGAGATATGAAAAATTGTGCTCTATATGTGTAATAAGAATTGTGCTGCATTCTGCTGTCATGTATTTAAAAAATAAAAGCAATTAAAATAAAATAAAAACCCTCTTGCCTCAGGTTTTATAGGTGAAATGTCTTGGATAAGGAAATACAAAAGGAAAAGCACATTAGTATATTTCAAATTGTGATCTTGCTACAGAAGAAATCATAAATAACCTGGATTTAAAAACCCAAGTGGCTATTTCTGATGGAAGGTAAATATTTGCTAAGTACTCATTATAACTCTTGGCCAAGATTTCCTCCTTGACCTGAAACTTTAGTCAGTTTCCTTTCTAGCCAGAGGCATCTTCTTAACTTGGCCTTGACTTTGGCCTGTAGAGTCCAGTTTTAGGAAAGAATCTTGATAAGCCAGTTTATTAAGAATGCCCCCTACTTTTAATATACAGTTAAGCTCCTCTTCCCTAATCCTTGATATCCAACCAAGTTCCTCTTTAGTAATTTTCCTTTTACTCTCTTACACTGTCAGTTGGCTATAAATCCACATTTGTGTTGAATTCCATCTCTCTCCTCTACTGCAATAGTCTCTCTCCCTTATTGCAATAGTCTTTAATAGTATGCCTTATTGTTTTAAACAAATACCTGCTGCAAAATTTCTCTTTAACACTACCAGGTTTGTATTAATTCCTGAAGTTTACATATATGCAAATTAAGGTTCAGCTCAAGTTATTATTAAAGGTCAAACAACTGGTAAGTGGAGAAACAGATTTGAATTCAGGCATCAAGATTCCAGAAACAGGGCTGGGGTTGTGGCTCAGTGGTGGAATGCTAGCATGCATGAGGCCCTGGGTTCGATCCTCAGCACCACATAGAAGTAAAATATTGTAAGTGTTGGCGAGGATGTGGGGGGAAAGGTACACTCATACACGGCTGATGGGACTGCAAACTGGTGCAGCCAATATGGAAAGCAGTATGGAGATTCCTTGGAAAACTTGGAATGGAACCACCATTTGACCCAGCTATCCCTCTCCTTGGTCTATACCCAAAGCACTTAAAAATAGCATACTGCAGGGACACAGACACATCAATGTTTATAGCAGCACAATGCACAGTAGCTAAATTGTGGAACCAACCTAAATGCCCTTCAATAGATGAATGGACTAAAAAAAAAGTGGCATATGTACACAATGGAATATTACTCAGCAATAAAAGAGAACAAAATCATGGCATTTGCAGGTAAATAAATGCAGTTGGAGAAGATAATGCTAAGTGAAGTTAGCCAATCTTAAATAACCAAATGCCAAATATTTTCTTTGATATAAGAAGGCTGATTCATAGTGGGATAGGGAGAGGGAACATGGGGTTAGAAATGATGATGGAAAGTGATGATCATTATTATCTAAAAGTACATATATGAAGACACAAATTGATATGAATATACTTTGTATACAACCAGAGATACAAAAAATTGTGCTCTATATGTGTAGTAAGAATGTAATACATTTCGCTGTCGTATATAAATAAAAAATAAAAATAAATCAATTCAAGGTAAAAAAAATAAAATATTGTGTCCACATAATACTAAAAAAAATAAATATTTTTTTAAAAAAAAGATTCCAGAAACCAAGCCCAAGCATGTCACCACTACACTTTACTGATAGCTTAATGAAGACAACTTGATAGCTGATGAAGACATCTCAGTTTGGAACTACTTTAGGACATAAAAGTCTACTTGAGAGGAGGCATTAAAGGTAGGTAGGATCAATGGTAGTATCTGGCAATAAGACACACCATGGGCTATGAGGTCTGATCCATCATAGGGCCAGATATTGAGAACTTATACATATGGTGGGAACTAGATTCCAGGATACAGAACCATGAGATTTTGGAGTCACAGATTTTTATACTGAGAAAGGCCTTTGAAGGATCATGCAGGCTAATTAGTTTATTTCTCTGAGAATAAAAATGAGGCCTGCTTTATGATTTGTCTGTCAAGGCAGTTGGTGACAGAGCCAGGAACTAGAGCCAATGCCAAAACTCATTCCAAATATCCAACAGTGAGAGCAGATACTCCCTTTGCAGCCATCATATGCTGGGGTCCATTTTAAGGCTCCACAATAACTTATTTATGTGAACTCCTATTATCTTTATAGATGAAGAATGAATACAAGTTTACACAAGTAGTGAATGGCAGAGCAGAAATTGGTACCCATGCAATTTAGATCCAGAGTCTTTGATCTCAAGCACAATGAACAAATGAGAATGTACAAGTCAGACAGACCTGAACTTCCCTCCTTGGGCTGGCTGCATAAGCTCTCTGAATTATTGATTGATTGATTGATTGATTGATTGTCTGGAGATTAAACCCAGGGGCACTTAACCATAGCACATCTTCTCTTATTAATCTGGTAAATGAATACGTAGAATGAAGTCCCGAACAAAAATTTTGATCACTATTAGCTAGTGGTGACATTTCTCCAGAAACCATCCTAGTCCAATGGTTATTTTTAGATTTATACTTCCCCCATGGCTACATTCCTGATCCTCCCTCTAGTAAATTTCCCTTTGCCTTGCACACATTTCCTCCAAACACTCCATCCCAGTTGAGTCCCCAACCAGAAAAATAAAAGCTCTCCCTGTGAAAGTCTCCTTTTCCTACAGCAGGAAACCAGTGTAGATGAAAGTTAGTAGTACTTGCCAGGAACAAGCTCCATTTCATATTTGCAAATACACATAAAGGCACCCTTCATTAACAGCACGGGGCTTCCTTTCCTCTGGGCTCCGCAGTCCACTTAGGCAGAATTCTGAACAGCAAATCAGCCTTCGCCAGAACACTGCAGGACCGCAGGGCAGCGACCATGAGGTAAAGGATTTTTTTTTCTTCTTCTTCTTGTATTGATTCCTTCAAATTATGTCTAATGCCATTGAAAATCTAAAAGCAGATTTTCTCAAGGGCTGGATTTTGCCATCTGGTTAAATATGCAGCATGCCACAATCCAAAGAATGATCTTTTTTTTTTCCCCCTAAATCTGGTATTTTAAGTTCTGTGGCACATCTGGGCTCCTAGAGGCTTCCCCTAAAGGAAGCTTTTAGAAATCCTAAACTGGAAGTGGCCAGGACCTGGAGCTGGGAGGAACGTCGCGCTTGTTGTTGGCGGAGGGGGAGGGGCGGGCTATCCGAATCCCTCATCGCGGCCACATCTTCATCAGTTAAGAATACAAAAGGGGCAGAAATGTTCTCACAGGCTCTTGTTTTTTAGGTTCTTCATCTGAAAGGCAGCCAGAAGCATAGGTTAGTTCATTATAATTTTTAAGGGTGGCGTACTTCTTTATCAGAGCTCGGCGGTGGCAGCGCTGGTAGGGGATGAGCTGATTACCTTGAGCAATTCTTTTTCAAGGAACCGCAGAATGTCGCTAAGCAAGGATCCTCTCTCTCTGAAGTCCCCTAGAACCACCAGAGAAGCTGGGCATGACTAATCCCAACACCCATGCACTCCCTTTCTGTTTTGTTTTATATCTTCAGTGGTCTTTAAAAAGTAAAAGGACAAACTAGAATCCTGAAAAATTTTTCTCAGGATAAAAATACAGAAAGCACACTAAAGAAATGTTAAGAAATTATCATCAAGTATAAGGGGAAAATTCCTATTGCGCCTAATATCACCAACCAGAAAAAAAAACTACATATATGCATATGTGTGTGTGTGTGTGTGTGTATTATTAAGTGAAAAGATAAGATTAAACTAAGTGTAATATACATGGTCAACTTTGAAAATTTTTCAAAAAAACAGTTGTGCGAGTATATGTATGTATGTATCTTTCTTTTTTTCTTCTTTCCTTCATTTCTTCCTTCCCCTCTCCTTTCTCCTTTTTTTCTCACCTTATACCAGATTCATTCTTTTTCAGTTTCATCAAATGTATACATGCACACCATTTAAATAGTCAACATGATCTATAAAATGTACGGAAAATAGCAGCACCCCCACCTCCATTCCACCCTATTTCCCATTCTCTAGAGGTTACTATTTACTGTGTAAGTGTTTTAGTGACTGTTTTGTAAAATACTTAAATAATATGATTATTGGTTGTTCTTGATTTTTAAGATTTTAGGCACTATAAATTGGTTTTCTAACATAGAACTTTCTTTAAACACACACACACACACACACACATACACACACACACACTTCTGCAGCACTCTGTGCTACCAATACCTGAGCCTTTGGAGAATTCTGCATTATACATTAGGTTGCTTTTTTAAATTTCTCCCATGGCTGGTAGATTTACTTTTCTTGGGTTTGGTGAGCAATTACTGTTTGTCTAACTCATTCAGAGTCTTCAAATTTTTGTTGTATTTTGTACTCCTCTTTTCTTTTTTCCTTGTGAATTAAAGTCTAAAGTGAATTTTAAGGAAGGAACTAGAGTAGTATCATGTTCAATTGCTTGTCCTACAATACTTTAAAATTTTTTGTTTTGGAGGGCGGTACCAGAGATTAAACTCAGGGGTGCTCAACCACTGAGCCACATCTCCAGCCCTATTTTGTATTTTATTTAGAGACAGGGCCCCATTGAGTTGCTTAGCTCCTCACTTTTGTTGAGGCTGCCTTTGAATTCACCATCCTCCGTCTCAGCCTCCCCAACCACTGGGATTATAGGTGTGCGCCACAGCACCCAGCTTTTTAAAATATTTTTATATAGAACATCATCTAGGTTTTTGAAAAATTTAAGCAATTGTAACTGTCTTTGCAGTGAGCCTCCTTAGTTCATTAACCTTTCAGACAACTGGTGTTTAAGCGGAGAACTGAAAGCAATAGAAGATATGTCTTAAGAGACATATCAAGGAATTGGTGGACATTAGAATGGAGACATTGCAAGGAATTGTCTTATAGGACTGTAGGGGTTGACAGGCTTTTGGAATCTATGGGACAAGCCATCCAGGAAGGCAGACTGGAACCCTGGGGCACAGGCTGTAGCTGCTGTCACAGGAAGTATTTTCTTGACTACAGAAGGTCAGCTTTGCACTTAAAGCCTTTCTATTGATTAATTCAGGCCTGTCCTGATTATCTAGCTCTCTCTCTTACTTAAATTTACTACCTATAAACTTTAATCCTATCTACAACATACCTGCATAGCAGCACCTAGATTAGTGTTTGAATGAATAATTGGGGACAACAACCTAGCCAAGTTGACATATCAAAAGACCATCACAACCTTTGACTGAATAATTAATGTTTTGTACATTCCTAAAATTCAAATTTTTTATGTCTAAAATACCTATTACATTTTGTAACAATACCCTAAAAGTTCTAGTCAAAATATTCTCCAAGTACTCTTGTATGAGAATGTCCAATTCACCATATTCTTGTCAGATTCAATTTTTTAAAAATTATAACTGAATAATATTTTTCATTTAATTTGCATTTCTTTGATTATCAATAACCTTTTTCATATATGTTGGTAAATTTTAAATGACCTGTTCACATTAGAATTTTCTTTACCATTTGTTAGAACCCTTTAGCTATTAAAAATGATGCTTGTATTATTTATTTTCTGTGTATAGTTTTCTCCTTGATTTTTGTGAGTAGAATTTTTGGTGTGTTTCTCATCTACTCCAGATTTCTCTCCTTCTTTGTACACAATGTGTCTGTTGTTTCTGTGGCTACAGGGAATTTGGCCACTAACCAGGAGGAAAGGGTAGTGGGCTATGGCATCAGGTGGTACCCATCCAGGTAAGGAGTAGGAAGCATTTGAATTATTTTAGATCTTGAGTTTGTCCTATGAGCCAGCTCAGCAAAGCAAATCAATGGGGACAGTGACATAAATAGCTCTATCCTCATAGGCCCAACCTCAGATGGATAAAATACTCACTATGGAACAACCTGAATAAACTAATTTTGTATGCACACTCCATTCCTATGAAAGGACTCAGAGCATTCTCTCTATTCATACGCAGGTCATTGACTGATCTACAAGTATTTGGGCAGATTGGCAAAAGGGACTTGAACCCAGTAAATCTAGAAGCAAATCTAACTATGGTGGAAGGAAATGCTCTCCTGCACTTTTAGGTTGGCCTGGCCAGGACACTGAGCTAATGACTAGCTAGTTAGCTAGTGTTGTTCAGGGTGAGTGCTGGCTCCCCATGTTAGTATGACAAAAATTAACTAATGGACCCCCATGTCTGCTCCATTAGTTAATTTTCTTTCACCACCTTGTTTGAGACAGAATGAAAAAGAGGGCATGGGACTCAGAGTTGAGCTACTAGTATTTAAGAATAATGAAAAAAGTCTCAAATTTCTCATCTTATATCTGAGATGTGATCAAGCAGCCATGCCCCAAAAGCACTGCTTTGCTACTGCTGCCTGTTATCCTCAATTCCTTCTTTTTCTTCCCCTGTAGTGAAATTGCCAAACATTCCTTGGAAAATATCTTACCACAACTGAAATGTCACTTTACCTGGAATTTATATGATGAAGAAAGTTCCTTACAGGATTTAGAAGACAGAGTTCGTGATCAGGTAGAATTTCTAAACACAGAATTCAAAACGATCATGTACAATCTGTTTGCCTATGTTAAACACCTCAGAGGCCAGCATGAGGTGGCCCTGGTATACCTTCGCAGAGCAGAGGAGTTTAATCTGCAGCAGCAAGACCACCAAGGCAAAATCAGAAGCATGGTCACCTGGGGGAACTATGCGTGGATCTACTATCACATGGGCAGATTCTCAGAAGCTCAGGTTTACATCAACAAGGTGGAAAAACTCTGTAAGACATTTGCAAGCTCCTATAGAATCGAATGCCCTGAGATTGATTGTGAAGAAGGATGGGCACTTTTAAAATGGGGAGAAAAATACTATGAACGGGCTAAGGAGTGTTTTGAGAAGGCTCTGGTAGGGAAACCCACCAATCCTGAGTTCTCCCTAGGACTGGCAATCACACTGTACCGTCTGGGTGACGAAGCACGAACCGAAAACACCATTCGCCTCCTGAGGCAGGCCATCCAGCTGAATCCTAACAACCAGTATGTTAATGTTCTCCTGGCTCTGACTCTTCAAAAGGTCAAGAACAAAGCCGAAGTTGAAGGAGACCAGTTGGTTGAAGAGGCCTTGAAGAAAACACCTTGTCCAACAGATGTACTCTGTAGTGCTGCTAAATATTACCGGAATAAAGGCTCCCTGGACACAGCTATAGAATTGCTCAAAAAGGCATTAGAATCAGTACCCAACAATGTCTACCAACATCTCCAGATTGGATGCTGCTACAGAGCAAAAATTAGACAAATACAGAGGTCAAGAAAGTGCACCACTAATGAGGATGAAGAAAAACTACGGGAAATAATGAAAAATGCTGTGGATCATTTTAAGAAAGTTGTTGAGTTGAACATCAACCTCCCCCGGGCCTGCTCGGACCTTGCCTGCCTGTATGCTATCACAGGCCAGTACGATGAAGCCGAGTATTACTTCCAGAAAGAATTCAGTAAGGATCTCCCTCCTTCCGAGAAACAAGTGCTCCACCTTCGGTATGGCAACTTCCAGCAGTACCAGAGGTTGAGCGACGACGCGGCCATCCACCATTACCTGGCAGGCTTGAACATACACGGGTCATTGACTGAGAAGGGAAAACTGATCATAAACCTAAGGAGAATCGCCAATAAAAGACTCTCTGAAAATGCCTCAGATGCTGTGGGGTGGCAACTGTCCAGATTCATCCAGGAACTGAATAGAAAGGGACAATCAACAGCTGGAGGCCCTGGGAGAGGACTGGGATGCCCGTTGGGCAATCCGGCCTCAGATGCTGGCAGATTTGACCCTTCTGTGTCCCTGGATGGGATGGGTAGGAATGAAACCTCAGAGGGTACAGGTGGGGCCCACCACCCAGCAGAGCAGAAGGCCTTCGAGAGACCTTCCTACCAGGTCTCTGCACTTCAGAGTAAAGGAGAAGAAGAAAGAGGAGTAGGAGGTCCTGTGTGTTAGTCATGAAGGTGGGGGTGGGGAGGAAGGGGAGGCAGGCCCCAGCCGGAGAGAGCTGAGCAGATGACTGGGCTTTTCACTTGTTTCTCTCTCTTTCAGGTTCTAAGAATTCTCATACAAATGCAGATATTTAGAATCAACTTTCCTTCTGTCATATGGATTTTGAGCCAAAGCTCCTTTAACCAAAGCACTTGCTTTGAGATTATGTGACCCTGGTTTATTCTCATTGTGTACCAGATTCCCCAGGAGACTCTCTGGCCCAATGCTCTGCACATTGGCTGGCACACAGTAGTCACTCAGTATTTGCTGAATAAAAAGAGACTAGAACTCCCCTGGTAACTGGTCCCACCTCCTGGCTTCTTAAACTCCAAAATGGATTCTTTATAAATCAAAGTTTTCAGTGTTCAAAAAATAGAAATCATAAAATTGCCTCAAGAATTCTTGAGATAATTTTAAAAAAACCTTAGGGTCTGGAAGTTGTAGGGTCTGGAAGTTGTATGTATGAAACAAAATCCCAAACTATTAATAAACTCAACTATATTACAATATATCTTACATGAAGCCAATACCTTAAAAAAGTCCAAAGGTAAATGACAAACTAAATGATAATATTTCTATACATTACTAGGTAAAAAAAAAATAATTTCCTTAATATTGAAATAGTTCTAGTAAATCAAGACCAAAAAGACATCAGCCCAAGGGGAAAAATGGGCAAAGGTCAGGAATGGGGAGAAAATGAAAATAGCTTTTATTTATTTTTTTTTTAATTTTTTATTGTTGGCTGTTCAAAACATTACATAGTTCTTGATATATCATATTTCACACTTTGATTCAAGTGGGTTATGAGCTCCCATTTTTACCCCATGTACAGATTGCAGAATCACATCAGTTACACATCCATTGATTTACATATTGCCATACTAGGGTCTGTTGTGTTCTGCTGCCTTTCCTATCCTCTACTATCCCCCCTCCCCTCCCCTCCCCTCCCCTTGAAAATAGCTTTTAAACACATGAAATACTGTCAGTGTCATTCATAAAAAGCAACTTAAACCAACACTGCAAGTGAGGCCATTTCAGATCAGCAAGAAAAATATCTTTCCTAAGAGTATACTACCAAGGACATAGATAAATAGGCTGTATCATGTGTTGCTGTTAAAATAATAAAGGATATAGTAAAAGGGAAATGGTTGATTGTCATTAAGAGCAACTGAATCTTTATGTGTGTAATAAGAATTGTAATACATTCCACTGTCATGTATTTAAAAAAAAAATGAAAAAGAGCATCTCAATCTTTGCCCCAGCAATTCCATTCATATGAATATTTGCATGTGCATGCAAAGACATGTACGTGGTGTTCATGAAGCTTTGTTTATAAAAACAAAGAACTAAAAAGGACTGAAAATGACTCATTGGAGGATTTGTTAATTTGATTTTAACATTCCATACACGGAATATCATGTCACTATTGCAAATAATAACAATAAAGCAGTTCAACATGAAAAAATATAGAACTCTTATCTCCAAGATATATTTAAATATAAATAGATAAAAGTACAGAAGTGTATATATCATGTTAACATTGTTGGAAGGAAGGAAGAGAGAGAGGAAAGGAGGAATGAAAGAAGGAAAAAAGGCATATCACAACAGGCTCTATCATGTGTTGCTGTTAAAATAATAAAGGATATAGTAGGGGAAAATGGTTAATTGTCATTAAGAGCACCTGAATAGGCATAAAATATTTGGGAAAGGATATTTTCTCTTCAAGGTAGTCTCTAGAGAGGGAGATAGTCATCTGGGAAGATTTACCTTCAACAGTATGTCTGTTTGAATTTTGTTCCCAGAACATCTATTACATAGTCAAACAAAGTAAACCCAATTCAAGACAAAGAAGGTCAGACCAGAATGTTGTGACCCCTTCTTAGTAGCCACTGCACAAAACAGTTCCATTCCTGATGTGTGCAAGCCCACATTCATGTTTGCAAATCTCTATCACCAACCACCCCCCACCCCGCACACACACAAAATGCCCTCCAACTCTTTTCACTTATCCATAATTGTGTTAATCAAAACTGATTTTTGGTCAATCAATCTTCTCCGAGTAGACTGTTCTGACCACTCCTCTATGACTTCCTGCTGGATTTTGGTTTTTATATTCTTTTGTCATCAGTGTTAGGAAATAATTTCTTAGGCAACAAGCTTCTAGTGGGCTCCCAATGGATGTCAAGTAATGTAATGAATGAATTCCAAGTTGAAAGGCATATGTCTGATTCCAAGAGTTCACACAGCAGTTCAAGTGTTCCAAGAGTTCACACACGTTGTTCTCAGGATGCAGCTCCTGCTGAGAATACATGTGCCCTTCAGGTTTTCTTGATTTCCAATAAAGCAAGAATAGTTTCATACATTCCCTGTGCTATTCATTTCCCATGGGCTTTCCTCTCTCTGTCATTTTAGATGCATGCAAATTTAATGTTGCAATCAGATTACAAACTCTAGAAAGGGAGGGAACAGGGCTTTTATTTCATAATAAAATTATGGAATTTTAACCCACAGTGTTTGGCCTAGAATAAATGGTGGGGATCACTGCCTAAAGCCTTTTGTTAAGCACACAACAAGTATAGAGGAATAGGTAAAGTCTGGTGGGAAAACCCAAGAGTACCTTAGAAGCTTGGCTTCCAGAGCCCTGCTAATGCAGCTCACAAAAGAAGTGGAAATGTCCCTACTGTTCATTTCAAAAAAAGAAGAAATCCATACACCTGCAGTGAACACTTGAACATTCCGCGCATTTCTTCTGACCACTTATGCTGTCTCTTGTACTTTTATGTGGACTTTTTCATATCCCTCTTCCTTTCTGATATTTTCATGATAATCTATTTTTACAACTTTTGATTCTCAGAATCAAATACGGAAAAAAATGCAGGAGACATACTTTGAGGGTATTAATTAATGTTCTCCTTAAGAATCATTATTAACAAAGGTCCTATTTGATTACAGGAAGCTCTAGGACCAACAAAGTAAAAACATAACCCTTATCCCATGGTGCAAAGATGAGACTAAATGTCAAAAAGAACTTCCCAGAGGATGAAGCAAGGTGTTTGGAGAACAATGGCAGGGTAGTTCCTATCAGATGACAGAACCAGGGTCAAATCAAGAAACTTTCACCATTGCCAGGGTAGTGGATCATCAAAAGGCCCATCCAGCAGAGTTTCATCACTACCATAGACCTAGAATTTTTCCACATTCTCTTCAATTGGGTGTGTTTCTTGTTATCCTGCACTAGCACTGCACATAATACATATGAAATAGCTAGTCTTATCTAGACTTTTAGTCTTTTTTTTTTTTTGATTCTTAAATCTCCAGACCACAAAGAATCTTACCCAGACCATTGGAGAGGACAGTGCCTCACTTCACAGATCCCTGACCACAGGCTGAGGGCAGTGATTGCCTTGATTCTGGATGGGCTCCTTTGGCCAAGGTCTGAGCATGTTCTATGTTTGGCAGGAAGGGTACACGTGGATCTTTAGAGCAAGAGTAGGGTTCTGAGGTAGAAGCAGCACATGATCCACCCAAGCCAGTACTCATCTTCTGTGGCTCAAAGTTGTCACTGAGAGGAATCTTATTCAGGAACTACATTTCTCATCCTCCCTTTCTGTGTAGGAGAGAATATACTAACTCTTCTTAATGGGATATGAAAAGAAGTGTTGGAAGAAATCTGAATTCTTGGATCATTGCACAGACTTCCAGCTGTCCAGGAAAACCAACCTGGGATGGTCATATGAACAAGAGCATCTTTGTTATAGCAGCTAGCCTTATACCAATTTAGGAACCCTATGAGAGCAACATTTTTTCTCTTTTGAGCACTTTTTCAAAACTTGATTTTCCCCAATTCTAAAATATTTTCAGTTTGAGTTAAACATTCCAAAGCTTTTGGCAACAGAAGTATCCCTTTATACAGAGACGCTAATTCTCCTTCTGAAATAGTATCCTGGCCAAGAAAAAGGATAAAAAGAAAAAGAATGCGATATAGCAACTCAGTGGCATCCACCAATACTGACGGTTCTATATAGTCAATGCTCCACAGTAGAGAATAGACCACTTTTAAGTAAGTGGCCTCTGGCCCTAGAAGTAAATGCCATTCCCCAATAGTAGTGGTGGCAGTAGTATATAGAGATGACTCTCTGTTATTGGACATTTACTATGTGCCAGGCACTATTCTCTGCCCTTTATATACAGTGATTCACTTAATCTTCATTAAGCCTTGTATGGTAAGAACTGATACAGTTCCTATTTTAACAATGACAAAATTGAGGCTTAGAGAGGTTTCCAGCTGTATAACTCAGTGGCTGTTAGACCTTGGGCCCCTTCCGTCCCTCATATACAATCCTTACCCTCTCTGCTCACTTTCTTTTCCCATAGCACTTATCATATGCTATCTAGTTTATTTATTATTGTGTTAGTCTGTTTGGGCTGCCATAACAAAAAAAAATCACAAACTAGGTGACTTAAACAACAGAAAATTATTTTTCCTCACAATTCTAAAGGCTGAAAGTCCAAGACTAAGATGCCATAAAGATTAGTTTCTGGTGGGGCCTCTCTTCCTGGCTTGCAAATGGCCAGTTTGTCACTGTACCCTCACATGGCCTTTTGTGTGTGTGAGTGTGTGTGTGTGCACGTACAGGCATGGGAATCTCTGGTATCTCCTCCTATAAGAACATGAGTGCTATCAAATTAGCACTCATTACTTCATTACCCTTAATTATTTCCCTAAGGCTGTATGTCTTTATAGTTACCTTGGTGGTTAGGGCTTCAGTGTATGAATTTTGAGAAGAGAAGGGTGACACAATTCAGTCCACAACAATTGTGTTTATTGTCTTCTCTTTATGGTAGATTAAACTCAGGGAGACATATCTTTGTGTACGAATGTGTCCAGGAGCCTAGAGAGGTGCCTAGCACATTGCATATCATAAGCATTGGTTGAAAATATGAATGAAGAATGAGGGGGCTGGGGTAGTGGCTCAGTGGTAGAGTGCTCGCCTGGCATGCGCGAGGCCCTGGGTTCCATCCTCCACACCACATACAAACAATTAAACAAAATAAAGGTATAAAAAAAAAAAGAATGAGTGAATGAAATATCCCTAGTAGTCTAACAGAAATAAGGGTCCAAGTTACCTCTACCTAAGCTTATTTTCTTTGGGCTATTTGCTTAGGGCTACAGAGAAGTAAATTCATTTACTTCTATCACATTCCCAATCAAAAACTGTCCAAATATACTCTCAAAAAATTAACATTGAAAATGTCTTAGTCTATTTTGTGCTATATTTAGCCCCATTACCTTTGGGCCTGTGTCAGGGAAGTACAACATGATGGAGAAGGTGTGGCAGAGGAAGATGCTCACCTCATAGTGGCCTGGAAGAAAAGAAAAATACTGAAAGGGGGCAGAACCCCAATATCTCTTTCAAAAGCATGCTCCCAATGACCTAACTTCCTTCCACTAGATTCTCTCTCTCTTAAAAGTTGCACCATCTTCCAAAAGTGCCACTGCTAGAGACCAAGCCTTTAAAACATGGGCATTTGAGGGGGACACTTATCCTGACTATAGCAACTTTTACAAAAAGAATATGAATGAGCTGTTTTATTAACTATATCTTCTTAAAGTTTTTTTTGGAAGATTCTTTTAAATATGTGTATTCATGAATGAGTAAAGGAGTGAATGCTGAATCAGGTGGGAGCACGTTATTCACACATTACAGGTCATATAGGTGTGAACACTATTGGACTAGCCTCCAGTTCACTTAGGTAGACAAAAATCCTCACATAGATACATAACAAAAAGAGCATCAATTTAAAAACAATCTCAATAGAAAAGCGTAGTATTTCATTTCATTGAAGTAAAAGTTTTTTCATTAAACTTTCAATGTATGGTATGGTTCTCAGACTTTAGAATTTGCTGGGATTATCTGGAAGGCTTATTAATACATGGATTTCTGGTTCCATCAGTCTAGGAAGGGGTGTGAGAATTTGCCTTTCTAACAAGTTTCCAGATGGGGCTGATGCTGATTGCCAATCATAGTGTGAGAAGTATTGCATTTTACCTCCCTATAGCCAATGCAGATACTCATGGTGACTTTCCCCTTTCTGGGAACAGCAAGCAACTCCCCCTTTTTGAAACCAAGCTAAAATAGGTACAGTCCTAGGCCTATGGACTAGGGAAAAGATGCACAAATACTTGTGGTGACCAGAGTAATCAGAACTTTCACTAAATACATTTTTTTTCTCAAGTAGAAGACAGCTAGCCATCCTTTCCAGTTTCTACTTTGCAATGACACTCAGTGTTCTTGCACTAACAAGCTACAAGGTGCATCTCTATTGTAGTTGCCCTGTATAAGGCATGGGCCAGAGAGATTTCTGAAGGGTGAAAAAAGTTATCTGCAACCATTTCAGAGTGTACTGACCGCTAGTGTACTGACCTCTGTGCCTTTATTCATAATTTAAACATTTCTACTCAACAGTTACTCTTGTATGGCTTTTATTTATTTATTTATTTATTTTCAACTGGAGATTGAATCCAGGGTCTTACACAGGCTAACCAAGTGCTCTACCTCTGTGCTACATCTCCAGCCTTTTTAAAATTTTATTTTGAGATAGGGCCTTACTGTGTTGTACAGGTTGGCCTTGAAGTTGTGATCTTTCTTCCTCAGGCTCCCAAGTTACTGGGATTACAGATGTATGCCACTAGGCAGGACTCCATTAAGTTTTCTTGAATGCAAACTCCAACACCAAAACAAAACCCACAAGTGTCCCTGGTTTCCTATTTCAGCTTTCTTCTATACCTATTCGTTTTTATAAACAAATACTAGATTTTGTAAACAGAACTAGAACTTGTCATTTATGAGTGAGGCTTAAAAGTTAAGAGTTTGCAACTGGGATAGGTACAGCTGTGGATCCTAATGAAAGGGTAGAAGACTTTAAGAAGCATAGTTTCTGTTTCTACCCTGACCTAAGCAGAAAATCAAGACAAGTGACTTTCTCTAAGATTGAGTAAACCACCTTTCTGACTCAGTTTTGCTGGGAAGTATGTATCACCTTTTCTCCGTGCCAAAGGCATCTGGTGTTATTACTTTTGTCCAAGCAGGACAAGAATACTTTATGTAAACTATAATCCTTTTGTGATTTAGAGTTGTTTTAGTCAGCTTTTTCCAGCTGTGACTAAAGGACCCAACCAGAACATTTTTAGGAGAAGAAAAGTTTCTATGGGGGGCTCGTGGTTTCAGAGTTCTCAGATCCATAGGTGGCTTGCTCCATTCCTCGGGGCTCAAGGTGAGGCAAAACATCATGGAAGAAGAGTGTGGCAGAGGGAAGTGGCTCAAATGATCAAAAAGCAGAGAGAGAGAGAGAGAGAGAGAGAGAGAGAGAGAGAGAGAGAGAGAGACTCCATTTATCTCTTTGATTAGTGATTTTAGTTAATAATTACAATAAAAGCTAGCATTTAGTTATTAGGTGCCAGGCACTATTCTAAATTTCACGTAAACACTCTTTTAATTGTCATCTCACCATTATGAGTTGGTAGCAGTATTGTTCCCAAATTGCAATCAAAGAAACTTAGGCAGAGACATTCAATAATTCCCCCAAATTTCATAGCATATAAACGGAGACTGATTTCACATGCAGATAGACTGACATCAGAGCCCATGCTTTGAATCATATATTCACTCATTTAACAACTACTTTTTGAATGTCTGCCATACCATGCACCGTGCATATATTAATGCAGGGACTGGTGTTTCACAGTGGCAGTGAACGAAACAGACTAAAAAGCCCTGCCCTGTGGCTGGCAACTGCTCCTTACAGTGGCCTGTGGGTCATAAGCATGAGGGTGGATTTACATGGTAATGATGGGGACCGGTACTCTGTAAATGTATTCTTCTCCACAGTGGGCTCCCAGGATGCCTTAGATCTAGAACTGATCATTCTGACTCACTGTAACAAATCTGGTTCCGGAAAGCTTGTTTATTACTCAAGATCATTTCTCTGCAAAGAGTCCTGATTTCACTTTCCAGTTTCAATTTCTCTTTTGTAAAGTCAACCGCAGAGAAACAGGAAGAGTAACTGCCGGCTTGCTGTTATATAAGAGTCTCTCCAGCGTCTATCGGAGGCAGAGGAGGGAAGTTTCTGAAGCGCACAGCAGCCTGAACTTGCAGCCCTTCAGCACAATGGAAAACTGCACGGCAACCACCAGGTAAAGTTTCGCCCCTCTCTATTCACACTGTAACTGTGTGATCACATTTGAATGCAAATCCTAAGCAGCCTTTCTCCCAAGCAAAACCAGTTCTGTTTTCTTGAACGGTTCCTACGCCTACACCTCGATCTCTGTAGCCGTTAATCTGTTTTATCTGTAGCTGTTAATCTGCTTTATCAGCACTTGTCGGATTACTCATAAAGCGGCACAAAGTCCGGTTTCCTAAGATCTGCAGGAGCTGAGAGCTGAGGTCAGACAGAAGCAGGCAGAGATGTTTAATTGGGCTGGAGTCTTCATGTCATGAAGATGGGTCTGGGGGATTTGCTCTTACAAATTATCCCTCTTTTGTTTCTATTGGAAAGGATTAAGTTGAGGGCTTATAATAAAAATATTATTTAACAAAAGATTTCTTTTCAGTAGATATTGATGAAGATGTATTCAGAAGACCAACCTCACTTCCTGCTGAAGTGAAAGTTCTTTTAATGGCCCCATTCATCTCACATTTGTACAGGGCTGGTAACTAAACAGAAATATTTTACTCCTCCTGTGCCCTACGCAAATGATGGATTAGAGTATGAATTGAAGATGGGATGAGTGGAGAAAAGAGTCCTCACCTCTAAAATCCTCTCCTAGCCTAGAAACATGAGATTGTCGTGAAGAGAAAGTGTTAACTCATTGGGAAGGAAGGGAAGCTTCTGTTTCTCCAGTTTGAGAGTAGGGTGGAGGAGAGTTCTGGAATCCAGTGCTTGGTTCCTAGAAGATGCACTGACTTCTTCTGTCAGGCTTCCAATCTCTGTCTTTGAAATGGCACTTCTCTGCTAGTCTATGTATCTGCTTGATAAGAAAAAACGGGGGGGGGGGAGATTAAGATGTTTATAGATTTGTTTCTATGGTCACCCAGAATCTGTATGAACTTTATTCTTATTTTTTAGGATTTTATCATGGACTGACCTTAGAATCTTTTAATAACTATACATAACTATCAGTTCCTCTTTTCACTGTACTTGATTTTTTAGTTATGGGCTCTTCCCCCTGGGTTTTGCCACTGTGCTCTTAGACAGTAGTTCTCAAAAGGTGGCACCACCTTTCTCCATAGAAAAGTCTTAACTGGGCTTCTCCAGAAATCTCCACCATGGCTGATTTTAGGACTGTCAGCAAAAGAGTCTCTACAAAAGAGTTCAATGCAGATAAACTTTCTATTTTCGTGTTGCCCTATCTTACTTGGTCACTGGCCGGGAAGAAGTCAGCACTCCAGGTGCTGGGCACCCCCTTACTAGTTTTTCACAAATGTATCCAGTATAGTAGTTTGTAGAAATGTGCAAAAAAGGCCTCTGGCCTTGAGCTAGGCTTCACAGAGATGTCTACATTTTTAAGATAAGTTACCCAACTGGGCTCCATGGTAACAGCTGGCAGGGGGAGGAAAGGAAGGGGAAAAATAGCTCTCCCCTTCTCAGGTGCTGTCCTTGAAGGGTTAACTTGCCCAGAACAGTGAAAGAAAAAGCTGCTTTTATGTGAACTTCTGCGCCCCTCCCCTTACATGCTGGGTATAAAACTCCCTGAACTTGGGGTTCAGGGGATTGATTTATTACAGCAAAAGCTGTGCCCTCTGAACCTGGCTGCAGCCAGATAAAACTGTTTCCTGCTATCTTCGGTGCCTTGCCTGGTCTGTCCCTACAACATTCAAACTTGTGCATATGTAATAATTAACCTCAAGAAATTGTTAGAGGCAGATTCCTGCACTCAACTCCCCACAGATAATGATTTAGTAAGTTGAACTGAGGTTCTAGGGTGTGTGTTTCAATCAGGCACTCAGTGACCCCCATAGCCACACTCCTTATTCCTATTCTAAGAGGAAACCCCAAGTGAGAAAAATAAGATTCCAAAAGAAAACTAAAACAGGAGATGCAAATTATTAATAGATCAGCTCTGTGAGACATGTTAAGCTTAGAAACCACCAGTCTAAAAAGTAGAAGGGGGGAGGATTATACTTTATTCCAAAAGATATTGCTAACATATATAACAATAATATTAAGAGATAGAATGCTATAAAAGCAGAGGAAATGAGAAAATATTAAGAATAATTGCAAATAATTTAAATGGTTAAAATAGAAGATTCAACAGCAAAATAATGAGAGCATAAACTATCAAAATAAAATAACAAAACAAAACTAATTTGACAAAAGCTCAAAAAGTTTGGATAGAAACTTTATTAAGGATGTACTAAAAGCTGAAATGATTAGAGGAAAGTAATAAGGTTTTTTTTCCTAAGGCAAATTAATAAGAACTAAGGAATTAAGAATATAGAAGATAAAATAGAAGCAAATTTTAGAACAATATCTAAGAAATTTTCTGGGCCCAATGGTGCATGCCTGTAATCCCAGCGGCTCAGGAGGCTCAGATAGGAGAATTGCAAGTACAAAGCCAGCCTCAGCAATAGTGAGGCACTAAGCAACTCAGTGAGACACTGTCTCTAAGTAAAATACAAAATAAGGCTGGGGATGTGGCCTAGAGTTTCCCTGAGTTCAATCCCTGGTACAAAAAAAAAAAAAAATCTAAGAAATTTAAATCAGCACTGCAAAACAGGGTCCCAGAAAGAATAGAAAACTATGAAACTAAGATTTCCAAAATACTAGGTAAAGATGAAGAACAAACAAAAAGCAATTAAATAGTCTTATGATTTCTTTTAAAACTATCTAAATAAAATTTTAGTCCTTTGCTGAAATCAGTTTCCAAAGATTTTGCAGCCCTGTCAGAATTACCTAACTTGGCTTTCTTCTGGGAAAACTAGCCTCAACTCAAACTGACCCATGTCCATCTCTGTAATTCTGCTGTCCATTGTCACCAAACTCCTGCTTCCTCATGTAGAAATTAACACATATGCTGAAACATTGGAAGGAAATTTTGTTCTTCTTAAATTTATGTTAAAATAGAGGAAGACATTTTATTTGCTATGATCCCACTTCTTGACAGATGATTCTATACTGTGTCTCAAAGTGTCCATCTTTCTTTCTTTTTTTTTTCCCAACAGTGAGAGCACTATGGAATCTTTGGCAAACAGCCTACAGCAATTAAAATGCCATTTCACCTGGAACTTGATGGAGGGAGAAGAGTCCTTGGATGAGTTCGAGAACAGAGTGTTCAACAAGTGCGAGTTTCAGAACAATGAATTTAAAGCCACAATGTACAACCTATCGGCCTACATAAAGCATCACAGAGGCCAACATGCAGCAGCCCTGGAATTCTTGGGGAAAGCTGAAGAGTCAATCCAGGAAAAGTATCAAGACCAAGCAGAGATCAGAAGTCTGGTCACCTGGGGAAACTATGCCTGGGTCTACTATCACATGGGCCAATTCGAACTGGCTGAGAGCTACGTGAACAAGGTGAAACACATCTGTGCAAAGTTTTCCAGCCCCTACAGAATTGAGAGTCCTGAGCTTGAGTGTGAGGAAGGATGGGCTCGGTTAAAGTGCACAAAAAATCAAAATGAAGGAGCAAAGATGTGTTTCCAGAAGGCTTTGGAAAAGAACCCAAAGAGCCCAGAAGCCACCTTTGGATGGGCCATTGCGAGCTACCGTTTGGATAACAGGCCACCATCTCAGAACTCCATTGAGACCCTGAAGAAAACCATGGAGCTGAATCCACACAATCAGTATGTTAAAGTCCTCTTGGCTCTAAAACTTCAAGAGGTGAATGAAAAGGATGAAGGAGAGAGCTTAGTTGAAGAAGCCTTAAAGGAAGCTCCAGATGCAATGGATGTATTGTGCACTGCAGCGAAGTTTTATAGAAAAAAACCTGACCTAGATAAGTCTATAGAACTGCTAAAAAGGGCCTTAAAACACACGCAAGACAATGCCTACTTGCATTTCTACATTGGGTGCTGCTATAGGTCAAAAGTCCTTGAAACAGGGAACAGAAGACAGAATGAAAATGTCTGGGGAAGAGAGGAGTTACAGAAACTAGTAAGACAAGGGGTGGATCACTTAAAGAAAGTTGAGAAAAATGAAAATTTCCAGCATATCTGTAGCTATATTGCTGCTCTCTATGCAATAGCAGGTCAATATGAAGAAGCAGACCACTACTTCCAAAAAGAATTCAGGAAGGAGCTTACTCCTGTGGGTAGACAATTGCTCCACCTGAGGTACGGCAATTTCCAATTGTATCAAAGGAAATGCAAGGAAAAGGCCATCCACCATTACCTAGAGGGTCTGAAAATAAACGAGGAATCAAAGGAGAAAGAAAAGATCAAAATCAAACTGCAAAAGATTGTCCAATAATGACTTTTCTAAAAAATGAAGCCGATTCCGAAGCTTTGCAGATCTTGGCATTGCTTCAGGAGTTGAATGGAGAAATGCAAAGAGCAGATGAAGACTCTGGGAGGGAGATGGACTCAAAGCTTCATCCCTTCAGACAGAGAATGAGATACAGGGACTCGGTGCCCATAGAGCTTCAGCTGGCACAGGGCTGAAAGCCCTCCACCACATTGTTATTCAAAATAGTTAAATGACTGGTGTGGCACAGCATGGACTAAGACACTGGCCATAGACCTGGATTGGAGTTATGGGAGAACTCTGCTGTGCCATCCACAGCTCAACTCCATATTCATTCTCTCCGTGTCTCTCTCCCTCTCCCTCTCCCCTGCCCCCGACTCTCTCTGCCTTCTTCCTCTTGTTCCCTAGGCAATACTCAATGTCAAGTGTCCATGCAGCATGAATTCCATTTTCCTGTTAACCATGGTAGAAATGTTGTTTGAAAAAAAGTGAGAGTAAAGACCAAGTCAAATCCAGAAGGGGCCTGTCTAGGAGACCATCAAGCAGCCACAGTTCAAGACTTTCAGGATGCCCGTGGGAAGATTCTGCCTCCCATCTGCCCTCCCTAAAATTGTAATACAGCATGTAAATAAGAAAAAGGAATTCTGTACCAAATGTGTCATTTAGAAACTGAAATATACAGTTCTTTAAGACCTCTGTGGAAAAGCAAATGTCTCACACAGGATAAGCAAAAGAGAGAGAAGGGAGTGCTGGTTTCTCTTTGTAGATTGTAATCACTGAAAGAAATATTTACTATTGAAACCACTGTTAGGAAAATTTCTTTGTAATTGCTTTCTTCAAAAATGCCTTGCTGAACTCAGGTTTGAGATGATAGGAGAGCAGCTGAATAGAAGAATAACTTAGTGACTAAAGGCCTAGTGGAAAGTCTTAAGGAATTAACATTGACAATGAATGGTGGGATTTTTTTTTTTCCTTTAAGAAATATTGCATATTAGGTGATATAAACACTTCTTTTAACTCTGAAAATCTTCATAAATTTAAGTTTCTATTAGAATTTGTGATTAAACAATTAAAACGGTATGTAAAATTCAACATTTTTTTAAATTAAAAATTTCAACTACTGGAACAATAGTTCATGTGTTGAAAATATATATATTTGAGATCATCAGTGTACACAGTTAAAATTTCTGAAAAAAAGTCATAGGTTTTATTAACAAATAAATTTGAGATTAGTGTTCTGGTTTATCTGAAATTTGGTTGTATCTTATGTCTTTTTATACTTAACTTCTGATAAGTAAAATATTGTGCTGAGTATGAACTGGCCCCAAATAAGCTACACTAGTCTGATATCATAATCACAAATAGAACAGCCTTAGGAGACGAGGGCTTCTATTTATACCCATCACCTACCACATGCACACATGTGCACACAAACACCCTGCCCTCCACATTGACAGGGTGTGGGGTGCTGTCCGTTTCTCTGTTCAATCTTGTGCTTTTTGTCATATTCTCTCTTCCAACCTCTATTATGAGAGATGAGGAAGTGTCACTAATTCTGTTTAGTCCTGGAGGCAATCCAAATATGTGTTGGAGTTTTCCTTATTATGTAAATAATAGAAAGAGACATGAAGCCCAAAAGTTTCTCTTCCTTTTCAAAAGCTCTCTAGTGGAAAGTGCAAGCCATAGAGGCACAATGATAAACTCACTCCATCAGACAAGGGGAAGTTTCAGCTCATTTTACCTAAGTAACTGATTATTTTGTCTGGTCCCCAGGGAAGAAAACCAGGCGTGTTCTTGATGAAAGGCAAGACAGAAGACCATTAAAACCTGTGTGTGCTAAGGAAAGTTTATCAGGCATGTGTAATCTTCTTATTGCATGTCACATCCCCAAGCCCTTGCTGAAACAGGACCCTGAGAGGGTAAATGGGGGAAAGGGTAGAGTAAAAAAATAAATAAATAAAATAAAGGTATTATGTCCAACTACAACTAAAAATTAAATACTAAAAAAAAGAATAAGCATTATTAATGTAAAATGTGCCACCTCTTTGGAAAACCATTGCAATCCTCAGGTTGTTCACCAAATCCATTCCCAGATACACACCTAGGAGAAGTGAAAGTTTCCTAGAGGAAACTTGTATTGAACATGAATATTCATGACAGTCAAAAAATTGAACCCATCAACTAGCATATGGCTATCTTAAATGTGGTATATCCATACAATCAAATTTTGGGGGCAACTAAAACAAGTTAAATACTTACTGATACATGCTAATAAAGCATACATGAACCTTAAAATCCTTATTTTTAGTGAAAGAAGTCAGACACACAAAGTATTATATGATTTTGTTTGTCTAAAGTTGGCAAAAATAGATTAGTAGGTGCCTAAGGCTGGGTGTGGGGAAGATTTAGGATGATAGCTAAAGGGTACAGGGTTTCATTTGGGGATAATGAAAAATCTTCTAGAATTGTAGAATTGTATATTTTAAATGAATGAATTCTATGGTGTGTGAATTATACTTCAACACAGCTGTGTTGAAGAAATGATTGCTCGTTTCAAGTGTATAAAATAAGAAAACTTTCTTTTGTCACCTTCTATTTATTATTGCTGCTTTAAAAAATATTATATAGTGTCTTCCTTATTGCTAGCCTTTTATTATTCTTGCAACCAACCAGTAAATTGGATACATTCTATATTCTGTTTTCTGAGTATGGGTATAAAAATATAGTCCTGTCTGATTTTGTATTTATATGCCCATCCCTAGAAATCATTCACCTGCAAATGAACACACAGGAAAAATTCAAATGCGGAAAAAAATGTGACTTGTAAATATAAGTTCAAATGTATGTGAATTAAAAAAAGTATGTTATATAAGTTTAAGAATAATATGAATGTTTAATTAATTAATATTCAATTCTTTGATTGACAAATAACACTGTACATATTTATCATATATGACATAATGTTTTGAAATATGTATACATTTTGAAATGACTAAGTCATGCTAATTAACATATGCGTTACCTCACATACTTACATTTTGAGGTGAGAACACTTAAAATCTATGGTCAGTGATATTCAAGAGTACTGCATGTTGTTACTAAGGATAGTCACCATGTTGTACAATAGATCTTTTGAAATAATTCTTCCTAGCTTACAGAAATTTTGTTTCCTGTGGCTAACATCTCCCCAACTCTTACACCACCAGCTTCTGGTAACCGCCACTCTATTCTGCCTCTATGAGTTCAACTTTTTTATCAACATATAAGTAAGATCATGTGACACTATGTTTTTTGTTTGTTTCTGTGCCTGGCTTATTTCATCTCCCATAATGTCCTCTAGTTTCATTCATATTATTGCAAATGATAAAATTTTCTTTTTTTAAAAATGTTTCATACAAAACCCAATAAGGAGATATTCTAAGAGGATTTTTTTCAAAGAGCCCTATAATCAATTTAGATTGATTAAGAGCTGTTTTTCAGGCTGTTTCTGAGGCCTCTGTTTTTCTCTGTTGGATCTCTGCCATCTTTGTAAGTTACCAAACTTTGTACCTATCTAGTGATTAAATTGTTTTTTTGTGGGACTGGGGAGTAAAACCCAGATCTCATTCATGCTAAGCAAATGCTCTACCCCTGAACTACATCCCCAGCCCTAATGACTACAATTTTAAAGCAAAAACAACAAGATCTTTATTTTCATTTGTATTCTTATGCATATAGTATAGGTATATGTTTGGTATGTTTTGGCAGCATTTATATTAATATAGGTGTTTGTATAGCATCTATGTCATACCAAGCTAAACTAGGGTGATCACAAATTGATGAACTGTTTCTACAATTTACATGATTTTAGTAGATTTGGTAAATAAATATTAGTATTCTCCAAGTAGACATTTCTATGGGGGTGGAGGTTGCTGGAATAACCCTGGGGTCTCAACATAAGCTAATGGCATGTTCTGCCACTGATCTACAACACTCAGCCCTGGTCAGATTTATGCACATTAAATATTGTACAATATACAGACACACAATGTGTTTTTTTTTTTTGTTGTTGTTGTTAGGTGTTCAGAGTCACAAAAGTTGAGATATTTTTAATTAAAATTGAGAAAATCAAATGACCATGCTGAAAGGAGTTAAAAATGTTATATTAATCTTTAATTATGTTGTAGAGCATGCCTGCTTAAGTTTCCCGAGTCTCTTGAAGAGCTATACCCTTAGTCTGAGTCAACTAAATGAAACAATGTCTATTCAGTGACTACCTAGGTCACTTCCTAATAAGACAAAACATTAAAACAGTCATTGCTTAATCTGGGTGTAAGGTCAGGCAGCGGCAACCATAAAGAGGCAGATTTTAAAATGCTGCTGAATGAGGCTTTTTGTTTGTTTCTGTGCCTCTCAGTCGGAGCCCTCAAACCAGCAGGTTAGGTCTGATAAGAAATGCAGGGTCCCTATGGGACTGGAATTTTTATTGGACTTAGGGCAGGAAGGGAGGGCTTGGGACAGGAAAAGGGGTTTTTAGAGTCCCTTATCCTACTGGAGTTTGTCAGGCGAGCTGGCTAAGATCCAGGATTGGCCAGGAGACCCTGCTGATTGACAGGCGGTTCCGTCAGTGTCTGATTGATGTTTCTTTGGCTCTTGGGTTACTTGGTGCTTTGTTCCTCAGCCACCTCCACTGACCTAACACTGGGTTTAAATTTATCCACTTTTGGCTTTGTTACCAGTGTAAAAAAGATGCTCAAAGTTGGTGATAATGATATAATTAGGAACACACAAATATACACCTGAAAGAAAAAAGAAAAGATAAAAGGGCTGAATAGTATTCCATTGTGTGTGTGTGTGTGTGTGTGTGTGTGACATTATCCTAATCCATGCATCCATTGATGGACCCTTACATTGATTCCATCACTTGGCAATTGTGAATAATAGTACAATGACCACAGGAGTGCAGATATCTCTGCAACATACTGGTTTCATTGCTGAGAAGTCATTGCTTTGTATCTGGCATCATGAGGCTCTTTTGAAGTTAGCTTTGTCTCCTTTCTGCTATAACTTGGTTTGGGTATGGAGCACCAGACTTAAAAAGAAAGGTTATTTTTCAAACTTCACTAGCATTTTTTTTTAAAAAACATTACCAAGATGAGGAAGATTCATGCCTATCTGGTGACTTGTTGAGCAAAACCATCCTTATCCCATTTTGAAACTTCATTTTGCCTTCCTAGACAGGCAATGTGTTGGCTTCTCCAACTTACCACGACTTTTTCCTGAGCAATTTCAAGTGTTTGGAATTGTACTTATACCCCAATGTTCACTTTCTTTTCTATACATCAATATTGGTGGAGTCAGGAAGTGCCAATGTAAGGGTCCGGCGAACGTCGGAGGAAGAGACCACCAAGAGACCAGCTCATGCAAAAGCAAAAGGGGTTTATTGAGGATCCAATCCAGCGCGCTGGGGCTCCGTGCTCACTCAAGAAGGGAGAGCAGCCCAGAGCCCCGAGCAGGGGTTGAACAGTGCTTAAGTACACTTTTTGGGGAGGGCGGGGACTTTACATACATCACAATCTCCTTTAACAAATCATCATACACCGCGGGAAAATCAAACAACAACTCTTAAACAGGATTAGTACATTCATTGGCGGGAACAGGTTGGGCGGGAGTAATAGGTCAGTTCTAAAGCGGGGTACACATTCAAACTGATTGGTTTAGGTCCTGCGATGCCTACTTGCCAAGCCATACAGGGTCCTAGGTTATTAAACAACCAGATGGTCAGGGGGAATATTTACTGGGCAGTTCCGGGTATTGTCCTAACAGCTACAGGAATTTCAGGTTTTGCGTGTAGCATAGGAACTTAACAATACCTGGTCCTTTACTTTTTAACTCAGGCCTTGCAGCTTAGAAACTTTACAATGCCCGGTCTTTTACACTTTAACTTCAATTTCTTTTACCCTTACACCTAACACTAGATCATTTTATATCCTATGCTTCGTAACCTCTTCAATGTGGATAGAAGTAGGTGATAAACCCAGCCTAATTCTCTCTTAAGATCAGGAGCCATCTTGTCAAAAGTTGTAAAGGATTCATTTCTGTTTTCTGTAAAATATTAGGATTTCTATTTGGCCTGGACGTATTTTGATGTTTTAAACTTGCTTGAAATGCCTGCCCATGCCTTGAATTCACCCATGCCTTGAACTCACCCATCCCTGGCTTTCCCTGACCAGATAACAACCCTCTCTGAAACCCTAATGACGCCTCATAAATTCTGATGTTGGGATCTAAATTTACTCCCTAAGTGTTGAACCATTTAGACCATTGACCTATTACCTGCCTTGGTATTATGCTTGTCAAAATCCTGTTATCTGTAAGTTCTCAAGACACCCCCCCTTTTGCAACTTTTTGTGCTACAAAACTGCCCTCCTAGAGAGCTGGAATACTGTCCTCTAACCCAAGGATTTCAGGAGAGACAGTCCCAGCCCGACTTTAATTTGATTTAAAATGGGAGTCAGTGGTCTTTTCTTTGTGTTGTGTTTTAACAGTAGGTTGGGCTGCCTAAGGACTCAGAAAATGCCTAAGCTGTGTCAGTGTTATGAAGAAGGCAGAGTTCTTACTGATGCATGTGATTTTAAATATTTTTGTTGCAATTTGAATGAAGGGTGCACTTCCCTTTTTATGGCTTCTTTTGAAAAGAGATTTTCTTATTATGTCAGAATAAATTTTATTACAGTCTTTGTTTTCTACTAATAGAGAAAAAAATAATATGGAATTTCTTAACTCCAAAGAATATTATTTAGTCATATGCACTGTCATAAATACAGTGTTAATTCATGAACATTTCTTCAGTCAGGATAATTCTGTTACCACTGTTGACCAGTGACGAGTCCTTGCTTCCCCAATGTTGAAGAATAACACCAGAGAGCATGCCGAGGCAAGGTCAGAGTAGAAATTAGAAGTTTATTAAAGGACAGCAGAAAAGACTTCTCCCGGAGGAAGAAGGGGACCCAAGAGGTGGAATCCGTTGAAGTGCGGTTGTCTCCCCTTTTTATAGTTTTGGTGATGGAATGTAAGGGGGAAGGGTTGGGACACGGGTGGGCCAAACAAGTAATCTGGGCAGGAAGGACTTCATTATCACTTCTTTGGGATGGGCTATCTCCAAATCTGTTGGGGGCTGTTTCCTGGGTTCCATTAACATTTCTTTGGGGTGGACTTTGGCCTAGGGCCTTTCTGGGACTTCATTAACATTCCATGAGTTGTCCTGCGCTTCCTGGAATCATTATCAGCATGGCCTCCATTTTAAATTTCACTCGATATGATATTAGACCCGATTTACCTAACTACACTGACTACCTAATTTTAAATCTGGCTTCAATTCCTGGATATTATTCCAGGATAATAGAGTAAATGTGTAAGAAGGGCTCACTTCATGCTTTGAGCATAACCCTTACTGCTCTGTGGCTTATTTTAAAATTGACATGTTTATTTGTTGGTTTGTTTCATTTTGTTTTTTCCTTTCTCTTCTTCCTCTCCCCCTAGCTAACTATGGTTGGGAAACAGGATTAACCTTCCCATCCTGGGCCACTGAACCTGTACATGAGGTCAC